ATTATTGCCTACCTATTCATCTCCTTGCTGAGGACTTTGGAGCCCCTTTCCTATTTTTTTCCCCCAGGTAAGGGGGCCTTCTTGAGGATTTCTTGTAAGTCAGGTCTTGCGATGATGAACTCCCTTAGCTTTTGTTCATCTGGGAAAGTTTCTATGTCTCTGTCACATCTGAAGGATATTTTTGCTGGATAGAGTACTCTTGGCTGATAAAGTCTTTGCCTTTCAGAATTTGGAATATATTATTCCACTCTCTCCTAGCCTAGTAAGGGTTCTGCTCAGAAATCAGTTGAAAGCCTGATAGGTGTTCCTTTGTAAGTTATTTTCTTCTGCCTTGCTGCCGTTAGTGTTGACTTTTGCCAGCATTACAACTATATGCCTTGCAGTAGGTCTTTTTACATTGATGTAATGAGAACATCTATTGCTTTCGTTCACTTGTATTTCCAGCTCTTTCCTCAGGTTTGGGAAGTTCTCCATTATTATTTCTTTGCACAAGCTTTCTGCCCCATTCTCCTTCTCTTCACCCTCTTGAATATCTATAATCCCTATGTTGCATTTCCTAATTGAGTCAGATATTTCTCTGAGAGTTTCTTCATTTCGTTTTGGTCTTAGTTCTCTCTTCTCCATCTGAAGCATTTCTATATTTCTGTCCTCTAAGTTGCTAACTCGGTCCTCCATAATGTCAGCTCTGTTGTTTAGAGAATCCAGATTTTCCTTAATCTCATCCATTGTGCTTTTCATCTCCAACAATTCTGATTGGTTCTCCTTTATAGTTTCAATCTCTTTGTGAAGAAGTTCCTGAATTCATTGATTTGTCTTTCTGTGCTTTCTTGTAACTTGTTGAGTATTTTTATGATAGCTACTTTGAATTCTTTGTCATTTAAGTTATGAATTTCTGTGTCTGCAGGGTTGTTTTCTGGGTAATTATCAGTTTCCTCCTGGTGTGGAGAATTAATATACATTTTTCATACTGCTTGATGGCATGGATTGTTGCCTCCATATAGTGTTATTATCTGGTCACAGTTTCCACCTGCCACCACTGGGTGGGGATCAAGCACTGTGTATTCTGGGCCCAGCATGATCCATGGCTCCCCAGCTCCAGCTGCTGATTCCTTTACTCTCTGTGTGATGCTCTGACAGATGACAGACCTAGAGAGTCTGGTGGGGGATGGGTGCTTCTTTCACCTGAGCTTCCCCCAACCATTCCTTTTCTCTCTGTGCAGAGCTCTGGCTGTTCACAGGGCTGGAGTGCCTGGCTGGGGAAGGGGTGCTTTCTCTCACCACACCTCCCCCAGTTGCCGCCTCTCTCTCTGCACAGCACTCTGGGTGATAACAAAGATGGAGTGCTGAATGGGGAAGAGGTGCTTTCTTTCATGTGCGTGCATCCCCCAGCTGCTACTTTTCTCTCTGTGCAGTGCTCTGGGCAATAATGGAGCTGGAGTACTGGGCAGGGGAAGGGGCACTTTCTTAAATCTGTGCACCTCGTGCAGCTGCTGCTTTTCTCTCTGTGTGGTGCTCTGGGTGATCACATGGCTAAAGTGCTGGGTGGCACCTCACCTGAATGCCTCCCCCAGCCACCACCACTCTCTCTGTGCAGAGCTCCCACTGATCTGCCTGGCAGAGGGAGAGGCGCTCCCTTTCTCCTGTGCAATCCCAGGGTCTTCTCCCTGGGCCTTCACCAACTGCTCTCCTGGGATGCTAGTTTGATGGAGACACACCCACAACTCAGTCTCCTCTATCTGTGGGGCTTTCCCGCAGGCTGTGAGGGAACTCAGAGAGCAATGGTGTTCTTGTGGAGGGCCACCCCTCCCCCCATTCCTCTCAGAGCCATCCACTGTCCCAAGGTTGCTGGCTGCCATTGGGAAGAAAAAAGTCCCCCTGACTAGCTTCCACTTCCTCTGGAGGGTCCAGCCCCACCCCTTCAGATGTATGGTTGCGTGGTTCTCTCAGATGTCTTTTGTGCTGTGTGAATGTCCTCTGTCAGTGTATGAATGTCCTTTTGGTTGTATTTTAGAGGAGAGAGTTCAAGAGGAGAGCTCACTCTGCCATGATGCTGATGTCACTCCACTTGGAAGTGTAATTTATTTTTTGATACTTATTTTGTATGTGGCAAACTTGATTAACTGTCATAAATACTGCAGATACTCATGATGTTAGTTTTTGAAAGATTTCTATGTACATAACCACACAATTTGAGAGAAATTACAGTATATAAATGGTATTCCAATTATTTTAATTCTTTTTCGTCTGTGTTATAGCCCTAGCTAGAATGTCTGGTACAATATTTGATTTAAGCACAGATAATTACAGCCTTGTTTGTTTGCTAATTTAAAAGCCAAAATTTCTATTTTCTTACTAAAATTCAGGTTTATTGTAGGGTTTTCATTGATAAATGTCAACTAGTTAAAGGTGTATATTTCTATGCATGGCCTGGTGTTTTTTTCCTAACGTGAATTGACTTGTATTTTACTGTATCTGCATTTATTAAGACAGTGACACGATGTTTATAATCCATTAATATGTTGAATGCTATCAATGCATTTCCCAATAATAAACCATTCTAGAACTCCTAGGACACTTTCACCTTCTATTACATTCCATAAGCATAGCTGAATTTAACTAACAAGTTTTACAACCATTTATTCTAGTACCATAAATTGAGATGGGGAACAGGAATCTCTGAAAGATTTGAGTAAGTTTGGATACATCCTTTCATTGAATGATTCATGGAACTCTCTTCCTGTAAGTCTCTCAGGACGTAGGATTTTACTCTTGCAGATTATTTAAAAATAGAAAGTATCAAACAGATTTGATATTTGTTAGTTTGATCAAGAAAAACATGTCTGGGGTTTATGACTTTATTTACATTAAAATTTTTATTTCATTTTTTAATCTAAGCTTCAAATTAAAATTGACAACATTTTAAGATAGTAGAGTGTACATGGTATGTTGGTGATTTTATACATGTGTATATCATGAAAGGATTCCTCTGACAAGGTAATTAACACATCCATCACCTATTTATCATTTGTGTGTGTGATAACGTTTCAGTTCTATTCCCTTAGCAAATTTCCATTACGCAATATAGTGTTATCAACTATACTCACTGCATCTTACATTGGATCCTCCAACCTTGGTCCTGTTATAGCTGAAAGTTTGTGTCCTTTCACCCACTTCCCCTATTTCCCCCATCTCCCAGCCCCAGGAACCACTCTTCTACTGTTTCTATGAGTACGACTTTGACTTTAAAAAAAAAAAAAAAAAAAAGAATCACCATGTAAGTGATACCATGCAGTATTTGGCTTTCTCTGTGTGGGTTACTTCACTTATCACAATGTCCTCAAGATCCATCTATGTTGTAACAAATGGCAAGATTTCCTTCTTTCTCATGGCTGCATAATACTGCATTGTACACATATATACCAAATCTTTATTCATCATCCATTGATGCACACTTAGGTACTTTCCATATCTCAGATATTGCGAATAATGCTGTAATGAGCATGGGAGTGCAGACACTGCTTTGATGTCCTGTGTTCATTTCCTTTGGAATTACACCCATAATTGGAATTGCTGAGTAGTATGGAATTCTATTTTTAATTGTTTGAGGAACCTCCCTTCTCTTTTCCGTGGGCTGCACCAATTTACATTCTCACAAACAGTGCACAGGGATTCCCTTTTCTCCACAGCCTTGCTAACACTTGCTATCTCTTGTCTTTTTGCCACCCCCCATGACCCCCCTGCACCCGCCCGGCTCGCCCGTCCCCCTATCACCTCCAGAGGCGACCTCGGGTCCCACGTGGCCTGGGTCTCAAATCAGTGGCGCGCCGCAGAGGGAAGGCCTGTCCAGGGTCCTGGGGGTGTGGGAGCTGCTGCCCCAGTGGGAAGGCAGGAGTCCTCCCTGAGTCGGGGTGCCTGGAGAAGTGGCCCACAGCGCGGGGAACGCCTGGCAGGGGACCCCGCTGGGAGACCGCCAGGCAGTGAGGATGGAGGGAAGGCGGCCAATGGCGAGATGGACAGCAGTCCAAGGGGACCGCTCACAAGGTCCCAGGTGGGGTTGGAGGAGCCACTGGAACCGCATGTGTCAGCTCTGACCCCTCGTCGCTAAGGCGAGGCCACTCGGGTCTCCGAGACCCCCGACGTTCGGGGAGGACCCTCCCCGCTGACCTGCGTGTGAGGCCTCTGCAGCCTCCCGCCTTCCCGCAGCTGCTGCCCGGCCTGGGGGACTGTCCCGCACACGCCAAGGCTGGTTTCCCGCCAAAGCCCACAGACCCGAGTGGAATCTTCCACTCCTTCTCTGAGCACATCCTGCTTCCACGGTAGGAGCACTTACACTTGGGAAATTGGCAAACACTACGAACCAGGGCTAGATTTACTGTATTACTGAATGCCGGGATTCAAGTGATGGACATTAAGGTCATAATGCAGATGAAACTTAACCATGTAGGGTGTTTCTGGCCATGACATTATGTGTGACACAAAGTCTGAGGAAAAACAATGAGGAGACCTTCTTCCAGTATTTAGAAATGCTGACTCCATACAGAAAAATGTCACTCATGACATTTAACAGAGTAAAACTCCTTCATTTGTGTTTGTTGTTTCAGTGTCTTACTTGAAAATCAAAAGGGAAATAGCCATAACTCCTATGAAAGAAAATAGGCAAATCGGATGAACATAAATTGTACAAAAAATAAACAATTGGCAAATAAAGACACGAAAAATGCTCAAAATCATGAATCCTTTGGGCAATGCAATTAAGACACTGAGATAGCACCACACAATGGCTGAAATTAAAGGACCACATCAAGTATCAATCGGCAGGGACTTGGAGGAAATGGAACTTTCACACACTGTGGGAGGGAGAGCAAAAGGAAGAAATCATGTTAGATCATGGTCTGACAGTTTCTTCAAGAGTTAAACATCCATCTAACCACCGACTCAGACACTGTCCTCTACGTTACTGACAAAAGGTAAAAAAAAAAAAACAACAAACCATAAAAAACTTACACAAATGTCTGTAACACCTTTATTTTCATTAGTCAAAATCTAGAAATAACCAAAAAGCCCGCTGAATGGATAAACAGGGGTATATGAAAATATAAGAATATTACTCAGCAAAAGAAAAGATGAGCTACTCATATAGTATCATTGGTGAATCTCTAATTATGAAACAAACGAAATCAGAAAAAACAATAGAATAAACAGTTTATGATTCTAATCATAAATTCAAGGAAATGCAAAGGTATCTACTGTAAGGAAAGTAAGTGAATGGGTAGCTGGAGAGGTGGGAAGGTCGAGGAGAGATTATGATAGGATGTGAGGTAAATATACCGAGACAAAAAAAGTCATCCTCAGGACTATGATGATGGTTTCAGAGGTTCACACCTATGTCAAAACTTAGCAAACTGTACACTTTAAATATAAGCAGTCCATGTAAGTTACACAATAATCTTAAAAATTGGCTCAAGAGAAATCCCTATGTCCCACACTTTTTGGAAAGTAAGTTTACAACCCTACATCGTGGTGGTCTAGCAGTTAAGAGTCAGAGCTCTCATTGCTGGGCTGGGTTCGTACCACGTCAGGGAACCCCACCAGTCTGTCGGTTGTCATACTTTGGTGGCTGTATGTTGCTGTGATGCAGAAAGCTATGCCACCAGTATTTCACATACCAGCAGGGTCACCCAAGGTGGTACAGGGTTCAGCGGAGCTTCCAGATAGACTAGAAAGAAGGACCTGGTCACCCACTTCCAAAAAAATTGGCCACAAAAACCCGATGAATAGCAGAGAAGTCCTGTTTGATATACTGCAGAAAAGTGAGAGGATGGGTAAAAACACTGGGCCGGATTCTGATCTGCTATACACAGGGTTTCTAGGAGTCAAAATTAACTCAACTGCACTAGCAACACAATAGTGACTCCACCCACTCTTTCCTTGTACCCTCTGGGGGTCAGTCTTCCTTCAGTGGCAGCAAATGTGGGCAACAATTAAGGATACTGCCACCCAAGTCAACAGGAACACTGCCTGGGTCACAAGAGCCACATCACTCAGCCTCAGATCCCCTTTTTCTCTTTTTCTTGCCTATGCAGTAATGGCCTTCAAGTGAACATCACTGAGAGGCTACAGAAATCCACAAAGCTTTTCAATTATTTTTATTAAATTCTCAGGCAGTGACTTCAGCTACACAAGATAAACTTGCCTAGAGATCCTGAGATTTGTGTACAAACTGATGCTGCACAGTCACTGTCACAGAACCACTTCTGGATGCACTTTCAGAAGAGGCATATTCCATCTAGCTGGCTGCAGTTTCCTCCACTCCTTGCTAAGCCAGTGTTTCTCTACCAATTACGGTTCCCCTGGACCCAATGGTCTTACAACCAATGACCCTCACCCAATGAACTGTGGACACCAGGCCAAATGGCCCTTCGTAGATCTGGGGAAGATATCCCCTCCACAGTGCTGACGTCCCCTGTGAGACCTCCTATGAGGAAGCAAAAAAAATCACGTTGCCCTCAGATGCACTTGAGGTTCTCACACCAATCCTCTCATCAGGGTCATCACTGAGACTCCTGAATCACAGCATTCAGGCCTCAAATGAGGACCAGAAAGCCCTGCAGTCTTTCCTAGGAGGCTGTGGGAGCAACGGAAATTTACTCAAAAGTGGCACGTTATTTTCTGCCATCATACGGTCTCTCCTCAAAGTTTGAGACCCCTTAAAACTTGTTCACCCCTTCATGCTTGTAGAGTCTGAATTTGTTTATGAAATACCCCACAGAGTAAACAGAACACCTAAGATTGAAGAGGATGTAAACTAAAAGGCTTCAATATTGTACAAGACAAAGCAATGTGCAGCAGGCAGCTGGAGTTTGTGACTTGGAAGCTGAAACAATTCATCCCAAGTATCACATGCAACTACACGTCCTGAAAAAGTCAGTCATTCTCTGCAAGTTGCCGGCCCAACTCATGGTATTCTTTGGGCCAACAGTGACCCAGGTCCATGAGCAAGGTAGTCAAGGCAGAGGGAAAGCTGACCCCTGAGGGCTCAGGTGACTCCTAACTTGCTCTAATACATGGGAGAACAGAGGTCAGCTTCCCTGAGCACACTGGGGTGGTGACTGACGCACACTGTGTGGACCTGCCGGGAGGTACAGGTGAAATGCTGTGGCCACAGAAACTAGGAGTGACATAAATCTAGAAAGAGCCTTGGATAAGTTAGAAAGGGCAACATATTTACATAAGCTTCCCACATAACCGAAATTTATGGGAAGTCTCCCCACTGTGCCTGTTTAGATGTATGAGAATAAATTTGAACAGATGGCTCCTCACCGAGTTTCCACTGGTGTCATTCCGCTGAAAAAGAAACTGCACATTCCCTGCCCATCTAAGGCATTTGTCTATGGTGAACTCTCCGATGTTGAGAGAGGGTAAATTTTTGCATGAAATACTTCCCACATTCAGTGCACTCATAAGGTCTTTCTCCAGTGTGAACTCTCTGATGATAACGGAGGTTGGAGCTACAGGTAAAAGATTTCCCACATTCACTGCACTCATAAGGCCTTTCTCCTCTGTGAACTCTCTGATGATAACGGAGAGCTGAACTAGAAGTAAAAGATTTCTCACACTCACTGCATTCATAAGGCCTTTCTCCTGTGTGAACTCTTAGATGATAAGAAAGGTTGGCACTACTCATAAAAGATTTCCCACATTCACTGCATACATAAGGCCTTTCTCCTGTATGAACTCTCTGGTGGTAACGGAGTTTGGAGCTAAAGATAAAAGATTTCCCACATTCACTGCACTTATAAGGCCTTTCTCCTGAGTGAACTCTCTGATGATAACCAAGCCCAGAGGAAGAGGTAAAAGATTTCCCACATTCACTGCACTCATAAGACCTTTCTCTATTATGAATTTTCTGGTGCATTGAGAAGGAAGATCTTTGGCTAAAGGACTTCCCACATTCATTGCACTCATAAGGCCTTTCTCCCGTGTGAGTTCTCTGGTGGTTACTAAATTGTGATCTATCCTGAAAGGATTTCCCACATTCACTGCACTCAAAAGGTCTTTCTCCAGTGTGAACTCTGCGATGATAACGGAGGCCTGAGCTAAAGGCAAAAGATTTCCCACATTCACTGCACTCATAAGGCCTTTCTCCTGTGTGAACTCTCTGATGACAACGAAGAGCAGAGCTAATGGTAAAAGATTTCCCACATTCATTGCACTCATAAGGCCTTCCTCCAGTGTGCGCTCTCTGGTGTTTATTGAATTGTGATCTATCCTGAAAGGATTTCCCACATTCACTGCACTCAAAATTTCTTTCTCCAGTATGAACTCTACAATGATAATGGAGGCCCGAACTAAAGGCAAAAGACTTCCCACATTCACTGCACACATAAGGCCTTTCTCCAGTGTGAACTCTCTGATGCGAACGGAGGGCAGAGCTAATGGTAAAAGATTTCCCACATTCACTGCACACATAAGGCCTTTCTCCTGTGTGAACTCTCTGATGATACTGGAGGGTGGAGCTAAAGGTAAAAGATTTTCCACATTCACTGCACACATAAGGCTTTTCTCCTGTGTGAATTCTCTGGTGTTGAATGAGTGTCCACCTATTTTTAAAATATTTCCCACATTCATTACACTCGTGAGGCCTTTCTCCAGTATGAACTCTTTGATGATAACGGAGAACAGACCTGGAGATAAAAGATTTTCCACAATCACTGCACTCATAAGGCCTTTCGCCTGTGTGAGATCTCTGATGATAACTGAGGGCAGAGCTGGAGGTAAAAGATTTCACACAGTCGCTACATTTATAAGGCCTCTCTCCAACGTCAACTCTCCTGTGTTGAATGAACACAGAGCTATGGCTAACAGATTTTGCACAATCACTGCACACATAGCTGTTTTCTCCACTGTGCCCTCTCTGCAAATGAAGGAGGACAGACTGGTCACTTAAGGATTTCCCACATTTGCTGCACTTGCACGGCGTTGTCTCAGTATGAGTTCTTTGATGTTGACTGAGGGCTGAACTTTGCATAAAAGATCTGCCACATTCTCCACACACATGAAACGTTCCTCCAGGGTGGACTCTCTGGTGCACAACAAACGAGGATTTGTACCTGAATGCTTTCCCACATTCATGGCAGACAAAACACTGTCTTCCAGTGTAGACACCCTGGTCCTGAACAAGTGTGCATTTGGGGCTGAAGGCTTTCTTGCATTCTCTCCAGGTGTAATGACTGTTTCTGCCTGGTAAAGTGGCCCTGCATTGGGTGATTTTCTTTGGCTTTTCCCCAGTATGAGTGGTCTGTTGCTGCTGATGTCCCAAGCTGGCCAGGAAGTCCTTCCCAACCTCCCCCCAGGGAAAGGGCTTCCCTGACACGTGGAGTTTGCAGCTCTTCACAAACGAGGCCATGTCTACACTGCTCCTGAAGGGTTTCTCTCCCATGTGCCGCTGCTGGTGCTGTTGAAACTTTGCACTAAAATAAAATTGTTTTGCACAAGCCCCACACCTCAACAGTTTCAGGTTGTGTTGTGTTCCCTGCTTCTCAGCCAAGTAGAAAATGTCTCTCAAGACCAGACCACACATCTCGCAGGGGTGAGTCTTCTGGGAAGATGGAGCTGCTGTGGGAGTCCTGGCAGGTGGAACTTCTACAGAAACACTTTGTTCAAAGGGAGCCTCCAGATCCTCTGCTCCACAGCAACAACCTGAAGGCAAAGAAACCCTGGTGAAGTACATGTTGACCACAGGGAGGGGCAACCCCAGCACAAATGAGCATGTGTCTCATCTCACAGTGAATCTCTGAGATGCTTTTTCAGACAAGTGAGTTGGAATCCAGCTGGAGGGGCAGTTGGCTGCTGTGCATTACTGGGCCCCTAAGGTCACAGATTGGTAGAGACCTCACCAGGGGAAGAATACAAATACAGGGTGTGACACAAGGAAGAGAAGTAGCGTCTACACCTTGTTCTCTGCCCACAGCTTCCTGCAGGACCTTTTCTGCTGCTGATGTGAGGCTCAATAGCCGGTGCAGCCAAGCCCATGAAAATCTAATCACATCAGATTAGCTGCTGCTCAAGGTCAACTTAAGGATATGTTCACACTTCACAGTCCAACACATGAGGGCCACTGGTGGAGAGAACTGCAGGAGTGGTAAGAAAAATGAGTCATATGAGGAATCCAGAGAGGTGGAGAGTATCCCTGGGCTGGAAGTCACACAGGAAATGACATGTAGTAAAATTGACAACTTGCCAAAGTGTCAATATGGAGAAGGCAAGGTAGAAATGGAGTGTGGCCACAGGGAATGAAACCAAACTTGGATGAACAAGGGAGGCACGTGCTATGATGTGAACACGGGCCTGAAGCACATTGTCCCCAGGTGCCACTCAGCAGACCCAGGCCCCCTGAGCCCAGCCTGCCGTGGCCAGAGTCATGTCCATCCTGCAACCCACAAAGAAATCCTCCTCCTAAGCCTTAGCTGGGCAACTATATGGGACACAGAGGATACAAGTCCTAAGGGAAGGACAGGAGATGTGAATGGCCTGCACTGTCTCAGAGCAACTCAGCCCACAACAGACCACAGAAAAGAGATCCAGGTGAGTGATCTCAGTGGGCTGGAGGAGGAAATCAGCCTTTGCCACCAACAAGAAACACTTAGACAGCTATCTATGATCAAAATTGGCCCTTGGAGGGCTCAACAGCCCATTGAAGATACCACAGAAACACAGTGGAACATAAAAAGGAGAATAACCACATAAAAGGATCACTGCGGACATACACTTAGTGAAGACACCTAGAAATGATCAGGAAATAAGAACAAGGGCAGGGACTGTGTGCATCAGCCAAAAGGTAGATGCCATCATGGTCCTTAATGGCCTGCTCTGCAGAGGACCCCAGCAGCCTCTGCTGCAGAGAATCTCCACAGCCCCCATTACAGTTGCTGAACCCATAGTGTACACAACAGAGGAGGCCAAGTGTTTACAAGCATGGACCCCAGCTGCCTGCTCTGCAGAGGATACTGGCAGCTTTCATACTAAAGTAACCAATAGCTATTGCCCCAACACACCTGCCAGAGGGTAATATGCTGAGTTGCCCCCCTAAAAAAGAAGGAAGTATTGTTCCATTCCAAGACCAGGACTGCCACCCGTCTCAATGCTGCACGCATCCCAGACACTGGAGCCACAACTGTTCAGGGTTGCCCATAATCCATAACCTGACTGCATGGGTGTCACCCAAGCGCCTGTACCTCAGGCACCAGAGCCATGGTTGCTGTGGGCTAGCCAGCTACTCAGACCCTAGAGACACTGTCTCTGTTTACCCATGTTCTGGTCACAGGGGCCATCACTGCTCAGTGTGTGGCTGCATCTTACACAGTGAAGTCAATGCCACTGCAGGCTATTCAGCATCTAGGACCCTAGAACTGCTATTGCTCTGCATGTATATGCACCCTAAGACCCAGATCCACCACCTGGACCACAGGTGCCTGCACAACAGACACCAATGCCACCACCACCATGAAGCTGGATTTGGCATGAGGAGGGAACCTCTCAGTCAAAATATTTCCCAAGAGAGAAAGAGATCAGGAGGTCCCCAGAAGCATTCTCCACTGCTGTGGACACCCACAGCCCGAGCTGTTGAGGACACTTGCAATCTTCACTGATGCTGACCTCAGGTGACAAAGCTGTACAGACACTAAGCTGCTGGGCCTTCTTGTAGGAAGAACCACCACACCCCACCATGATGGCACACTCACACCCACACACAGGTGAAGAGCTTCCCCACCAAAACTTTTCAGTAAAGTGTGGAAGAAGTAACTACTCCACATATTGTATAGACACCAACATAAGGGTACAAAAATCCAGAAACCATGACACCTCCAAAGGAATACAATAAGCTATCAGTCACACCAAAGAATTGTACATCTATGAGCCATCAAACAAAGAATTCAAAATAATTGTTTTAAAGAAGCTCCATGAGCTATAAGAAAACAGAGATAGACAATTCAGCATGGAAACAAAACACGATTTTCAACAGAAAGATAGAAGATATAAAAAAGAACCAAACAGAAATGATGGTGCTGAAGACTATAATGAATGAGAAAATGCAACAGAGAGCATCAATATCCAACTTGACCAATCAAAAGAATTAATCTGAAAGTGAAGGTAGGTCTTTTGAAATTACCCACTCAGAGAAGGAAAAACACCAAGGAACTAAAGAGTGAAGAAAGCCTACATGAATTATAGGACATCATGAAACAAAACAACATTTGCATTATGGGAGCCTGAGAAGGAGAAGAGAGGGGGAAGAGGCAGAAAGCTTACTGAAAGAAATAATGGATGAAAACTTCTCAAATCTGGGTAGAGAAGTGCACATCCAGGTACAGAATGCTCATAAGTCCCCAAACAAATTCAATCCAAACAGGACTTCACTGAGGCATATAATAAAATCAAGAAGTCATGACAAAGAGAATGCTGAAAACTGCAGGAGAAAAGAAACTCATCTTATACAAGGGAACCCTCATGAGGATATGAGTGGTTTTCTTTGCTGAAACACTGTATATCAGGAGAGAGTATGATAACGTTCTAAATGCTGAAAGACAAAAACTGCAAACCAATACTTTACCAGCAAAGCTGCCCTTCAGAAATGCAGGAGAGAAAAAGACTTTCCCAGACCAATAGAAGCTAGGAGTTGGTTCATCACCACTTGACATACCCTGCAAGAAATGCTAAAAGGAGTTCTTCCAGCTGAACTGAAAGTACACTAATTAGTAACACAAAAATATAAAACACACTGGTAAAGGTAAGTATATAGTCAGGTTCAGAATACTCTAAAATTGTAATAGTGTATTAAACACTCAACACTAGTACAAAGGTTAGAACATAAAAAGTATGAAAAATAAGTATACCTACAATAATTTGTTAATGGTTACACAATAGAAAAGTTGTAAATGGTGACATGAAAAACATAAAATGTATACGGTGGGAGTAAAAGAGTGGAGTTTTTTATTTTTTGTTTTGTTTTTGGTGAGAAAAATTTGCCCTGAGCTAACATCCACTGCCAATCTTCCTTCTTTTTAGCTTGAAGAAGAGTAGCCCTGAGCTAACATCTGTACCAATCTTCCTCCATTTTTGCATATGGGATGCCTCCACAACATGGCTGACAGAGTGCAGTAGGTCCATACAGGATCTGAACCTGCAAAACCGGGCCACCAAAGCAGAATGCGTGGAACTTTAACCACTCTGGCACGAGGCCAGCCCCAAGAGTAGAGTAGAGTTTCTGTATGTGATCAAAGTTAACTTGTTACAAGCTTAAAACAGAATGCTGTAAATATAAAATGTTTTATATAAGCCTCACGGTAACCACAAAGCAAAAACCTATAGTAGATACACAAAAGAGAAAGAGAAAGGAATGAAAGAGATAAATGAGATAAAACAGACTTTATGTCAAAAGCTATCATGAGAGACAAAGAAGGTCAGTATAAAATTACAAAGGAGTCAATTAATCTGGAAAATGTAACAACTGTATGTATATATGGACTACACATCAGAGCATCTAAATTAAGTATTAAGCAAATACAAACAGATCTGAAGGCAGAAAAGACAGTAATGGAACATTAAGAGGGAACTTCAGTGTCCCCCTTTCAACAATGTGTGGATATCCAGATGGAAAATTAACAAGGATATATTTGAATGGAATGACACTTTAGTCCAAATGGATCTAAGAGACATACAAGGAACATTCCATCCTACTATAGCAGACTACATTTCTTCTCAAGTCTACAAAGAATATTCTCTAGGACAGATCACGTGTTACGTCAAAGAAGTCTTAACAAACGTCAGAACACTGAAATCATATCAAGTACCATTTCCTAACACAATGGATAAAACTAGAAATCAGTAAGAGAATGAAAGCTGAAAAATTCACAAATATGTGGACATTGCACATCACACCCCTGACCAATCAATTGGTCAATGAAAAAATCAAAAGGAAAACCAAAAAATATCTTGAGACAAATGAAAATGAAAACAAAACATATAGAATGGGCAAAAGCAGTTCTAAGAGAAAAATTTACAGTGATAAATACCGACATTAAGAAAAAAGAAAGATCACAAATAAACATAAAAAACCTAAGTTCACACTTCAAGGAACTAGAAAAAGAACAAACTAAGGCCAAAGTTAGCTGAACGAAGAACAAAACAAAGATCAGAGGAGCAATAAATAAAAAAGATACTATAAAAACAATAAAAAGATCCATAATACTAAGAGCTAGTTTTTTTAAAAGATAAATAAAACTGACGAACCTGTAGCCAGACTAACTTATAACAGAGAGAAGACTCAAATAAATCAACTTAGAAATAAAGCAGGAGGAATTATAACTGACAGCACGGAAACACAAATGATCATAAGACAACTATGAACTATTACACACCAACATATTAGATAACCTAGAAGAGCTAAATTCCTAGTAACATACAACCTACCCACACTGAATCATGAAGAAATAGAAAACCTGAATAGGTGGATAACAAACAAGGAAATTAAATCAGTAATCAAAAGTCTCCCAAGAGGGGCCAGCCTGGTGGCGCAGCGGTTAAGTGTGCACATTCTGCTTTGGCAGCCCAGGGTTCACCAGTTCGGATCCCGGGTGCGGACATGGCACCGCTTGGCAAGTCATGCTGTGGTAGGCGTCCCACATATAAGACAGAGGAAG